CATTGGGCACAAGTAACGAATGGGTGTCAAATGTTGAGAAAGTGAGGAGCAATTAAAACTCGCTCGTGAGAGGTGATGACTATGAAATTTTTATGTGAAGTCGAGCCAACTTTTGAGCTCCGTCGCTTTTAAATTAAATACGCATTGCGATCCGTGGATTCGATGCACGAGATAAGTTACTTTTATCACTTAAACATATAAAACTATACGGCATAAGTGTGCAATTTATTTATGTTAAATGTTCGTACAAGATAAACCATACAAACGTTTTCCAACGCACCCGTGCATGACATAGGGAAAATGAAGTTCATTATACTTATCCAACGGATTCTAAACCATTCATATTATGTAATGCACACGCAAAAGAAGCAATTAACACACTACAGACCTACGTTGAAAGAAGAAATGATAAAAAATCTGAAAATAGCTTAAATCAAAATAAGAGAACATATTTTTTTTTCTTTTATAATTGACACAAACTGAACAAGAAAAGCAGCGGAAGTCCGGACACAGCCTCCACATACATGTTCCATATGAGGAAAAATACTTTTGCAGCTAATGAAATATCTTTTTTCCTCCGCTGTGGCGCCTCCTTCTTTATATATTTTCTTGATGTTTTCACAATGTTATGTAAGCAAATATATACATTTGTAGCTTTCTCGGTTTCATGTGGGTGGGGAAAAATTTAACTTACATTAAACATTCCGTCTAACAATTTCGGTGTCAAATATCATATACTTCTAAAAATAATAAAATAAATATCGCATATATAGCAAAAATAATATTTTATCGCATAGGTACTGACAATCTACTCGATGACGTAATTAACGATTGCATGGCAACTATCAGATATATCTGTTTTACAACTTTTACGAAATATAAATATTGATATTTATATAAAGTCGCAGCGATTATTTGGTTCATCAATGAAACCGCTTTCAAATCGGTAACGTGGTTTCAAAGATTATCCATTAAGTACCAAAGTGTTTTATTATATGTTTATTATAATAGCATGTACCGAAATTTATAACATTGAACTGACTAGTAGTCGTTATTGTATAAACAAAATCATTAATGTATAAAAGTTATACCAATATAATCAAAAAAAAGTGCGTAATTTGTGACTCTGCCTGTATGTGGAAGGTTATGTACGGAAAACTGCACCTATTTGAAATATCTTGCACTATTTGAAAGATAAGTTACTCCATTTAGATATTGACAATAAAATAGGAAATAAATAAATAATATAGAAAATATATCATGTGTAAATTTTATATTATGGCTTTATTTATAGGCAAAAGTATTTTATTTCTTAAGATATATATTTCTAAATATAGACGGGGACACAAGTAAGTATTAAACATTTACATGGAAAAAATTTACGTGAATACCTACCACTACATATACTTGAGGTATTATTAGCTGTAATAACAGTATTGCGCCTGGAGGAAGCCATTAAGTTTAAAAATTCAGAATAATAAATAAAATAAAGGAACATGAGGGATCAACCAATTAACCATCCAAATTGATGGCAATTGCATTACACTGAAGAGATAAATCAAACTACAATGATAGTTAACATGTGAACTAAATAACTAAATGAAGCATAAAGAAAACGATACGTTTATACTCAATCCGTGCGTCTCGTGAGGAACGCATGTACGAGTCGAAACAATGGGCATTGTTAATTTCATACCGCTATAAGAGCAATGAGATTTGATGGACATGAAACATCCGAGTGTCATCAAGACGAAAATACTTCGATGGGAGTTTCGCTGAGTTGAAAAAGATTGAAAGGGCTTACTATGTTCTGCGAACTGTGATTGGTAGATTTCTACATGCAAAGTGCTTCAATAAGATAAGATACATTGATTTCAAGAAAATCCTATGTAACAATACGTTCGAGATCCAAATGGGTTCAAGTGATAGCTTTGCATAGTTCCCCGCTACTCATAGTGTTGTGCTTAATTATTCTATTAATATGAAGAAAAATAATGCAAATTGAACTGTTTTTATTAACTAAAACGCATAATCCCGTTGAAAATTTTGCGTCGAGTTGAGCTAAGTTGACCTAAAAATAATGTACATAATTTTTCAGACGTCCAAGCGACACATGCCGCTTGTCACGTAATAAGGCAATTATTCGCGATAATATGCTTGATGATATATGATAAGTTTAATATATTATGGATCCGCTAATCAAGATATTGAAATATAATTGACGTTTTATACGTATAACTGATCTTTCAAACCGTTTACATTTCCTTTCATAGGGCCACACAACAATCTTCGCTGTTGCAGATCCGTCCAGGGGAATACCATGACCTCACAAGAATCCGACGTGAAGTGGAAATATTACAGTCAACCGGGACCCACTTTATTAAAAGGTGGCAATACATCTGCAACCCTACAGTAGTTGCAAATGTCCATGGGCGGCGGTGTTCACTTCACAAAAATAATAAATAATAAAAAAAAAATTCAATAAGATGGATGCAAATAATAATCATAAATTTCACCCTGTGAATTTTATGATTATTATTTGTGTGATTTGTACAGTTAGACAAATCTAAGTCACGTCAAGTTATACATATCACAATCAAGAGAGTATAAAATCATTAAAAATTTGAAACGAATACATATTAAATTTAATAACGCACATTTATCAATTGTACTATTTTTATAATTATTTTCATTTGTTTTTATAACTAAAACTGGAATCATGCGATGAGAATTTCGTACAAACTTAACTACATTAATAACTCGATTATTACAAACATACAATTTTTGGATACTTTTTCCTTTGCCGTACGGAATCTTGCGCCTAGCCGAATTTCATGATTCATATTTGAGGTCAACAGGAAGTAACCAATAGATTTTGATGAGTGGGTTCGTGATGATTAAATTATCTGACATAAAAGGCTGTATTTGTTGATTGCATGGGATTTCTTCATCATTTTAAAAGATTTTTTAAAACCTTATTTTAGAATGACAAATATCAAGTTGCACCCGCATCTGAGAATAAGGGTTCTTAAGAACAGGAAGGAAGTCAACAAGATGATCCTATAATTTTTCTGAATGGGGGGACATGGAAGGGAGCAAAATTGAGATTTGATAAAAAAATTCAAATACATAAATTTAACAAGCTATATTGTCTCGTCTCGTCTATATAGAACATTTTCAATTAAATATTTTAAGAGTTATTTTAATAGATCTAGATGTTATGAAATACTATAAACGGTAAAAAAAGTACCTCTTTATAACATTTGTGAAGATACATACAGGAAAAAAATATTCATTCAGTGTCAAAGTTGGTCAGCTGTGTGAAATTTATTTTTTCAAACTTTATTCTTTCAAATCAAATGAATCAATGTTACGCTCCAATGCTAGATTGTGTAGCAAATAGTATAGTCATATTCTGTCCATTCTATTTTATAAATGTGATAACAATTTCATTACATATTTAACATGCTTAGATGTTTCATAATACATAAAATCTTCTAAATAATCTGAATCTAGCATATTATTGTCATCAATCAAGAATGGTTATGTTATATTATGAATAAAAGTAAATATCTCAATCAAAGAAACTAATTAAATTTTATTCATTAAAGAGTGAGTCATAAAATGACCGAAAATCACCTAAGATGGTACGGACACATTAAAAGACGCAGCGAAGATCACGTAGTACGATTAGCCCTAAATCTGCCCGAATCAAAGAGAGGCAGAGGCCGCCCGCCAATGACCTGGTGGTCCACTATTGCAAGAGACCTAAAGAAAGCCCAATTGCCTGAAGCGACAACCCAAGACCGTTTGTCTTGGCGCAGGAAAGTGAGGAGATCCGACCCCAAATAACGGTATCAGGGACGGAAGAAGAAGAAGAAGAAAGAGTGAGTCATAAATTTTGATTAGTTAGTGTACCAATGAAATATGATGTACCAACAAAAAAAATCTTTTTGAAATAACTAAGGAACCATTTTTTGTTCCATTTTTAAATTTGAATGACATAAATGTAAAATATATTTTTTGTCTGTTTTTAGGTTTTTAAAGCAGCTTACAATTTTACAAATCATATAAAAACTTCTGAATACTAATTGTTCTGCATCAAGCAACACATTGTGTGTATTCTTCTATTATAGTTTATCGGTGGTAGGGCCACGCAGTTGCATGAATGGGCAGGCTCATCGGGGTAAGTACCACAACCTCACAGAAGACCGGCGTAAAGTCGAAGTGTAATACTTTCGCGTTTCGTCTGGTGAGTGAGGTAGCCGGAGCCCACTTTGCAAAAAGCTTGTCGCATCTGCAAACCCTCGGGTGTAGATGTCCATTGGCGGCAGTATTCACTTAGCATCAGGTTAACCGACTGCTTGTTCGGCAACTTTTCACACAATAAAAAAATTATATATTATTGTGTATATGGACAGAAGATTAATAATAAACACAAAAACAGTACTGTGAACTTAACAGGTTCTTTCATAAGATGCATTATTATTATTATTATAGAATTTTATTACATAATAGGCCATTTTTCATTATTTTAAAGTATGTGTGTACATTTATGTACTCATGTAAGAAGTTATTATTCTTTAACTACAATCTGTGAAGGTTTAATATAATTTAAACTCCCGTATAATATAACTTGAAATCATAACAACATTTTTAAAACTGGGAATGACTGTTTTGCATTCAATATTCTATAAACAAATGGGTATTGAATATTTGTTTTCTTGCAGTAGGTACCACTTCGTTGTTATATATGATATAACTAATTGATAGGCATAACTCAACTGTTTTTACTACTAAAGCTTCTCATTTGTATTTACCAATTAATTATGAATAAATTTATACTGCCTTTAAGTTAACTGAAATTTTAAATTTTCATTGTATAGACATGAATATTTGAAATTTCAATTAATTTATAGGCATTTAAAGCATACTTATTTAGGAACATAAAATAATAAACAATCAATAAATTGCATTGTTCCATAATTATCTGTACTTACTTCTGAGTAGGTTATCTAACAGGGAATACAATTCTTTCTCTGAATTTAAATATTCACTGTCCTCATTGATTGGCCAATCACAGGAAAGATTCCATTCTATCACATCAACTCTATGTCCCTCATCATCTGGCAACACATACAACCTGCAGACAAAGCAAACAAAAATGTTTTATTAAATAGTTACAGTTGCTTTAAGTAGCAATTCATCTTATCATGTTATTGTATGGATAGATATTTTAATAAATAAATATACCGTTAAAAAGGAAAATATTTGTTTAGGGAAAACCAGTAGATGTACTTTTAAAACCAAATAAGTTTAGGTAACTGTGTGCTTTTTCATTAGTTTTTAATTTCACTATTCAATAACAAATGTGAAAATTAAAATAAGTATTTTTCATTACTATCTTATCTTAATAAAGTCAGCCTAATCAAGATTAAAACGACAAGTGAACAGGAAACTGAACTAGTCGTGTGATCTTGTAGGTGGACAATAACATACTTGACATGCTTTAGTACCTAATATAACTTATCAACAGCTGGTAAAACAAAGGTATAATGAAAACCTTAGTTTCAAATGCTACTTAGGAGTGTGGCAGGAAGCAAGTACGTTTGGTTTGAACCGGCGAAAGACAAATCGAAAGATGTATAAAGTGTCAAAGTATGAGACACATGGAGAGCGAAGACAAAGACGTTAATAAAACAATCAGGGCAGAATCCCAAATAACATTTTACTCACCAGGTCTGATCGTCAGAAAAATCGAGTGACTCCACGTCAATCAGATCAGAATCAATCATATCTTTGTTTATATTTTGATCAACCTGATTCATAATTCCACTGTAGACGAGACATCAATTTGGCACTTTACACTAAGCACAAATAATTTTCACACACAACCTACATTTACTCTAAGAAAAACACGATAAATAAATAAGAAAAAGATATACTATAAGAACTAACACAATTTGTTCCAGTCCCAGACAAGTTTAGTTTGGAATTTGACATATCACCATAAGTGCCAAAAATGTGACGAAACAACGGTAAAATCCATAGACAACACAATTCAAGAAATACCACTAGATTCCGTTAAATTAAATAAGTTAATTCTATGTAACAAATGGTTCCCGAAAATGATAAACGCTAACATACATAAAAATTACAACTATAACGTATAGCCTATAAGTCATATAATTTACTTAGTTATTTTAATTTCAAGGGTTGCTATATTAAAAATAGTTAATAGTGAAGTACTAACGTAATGTATCTTTTTTGTTCCATTGTTGTAATTTATTTTGTGACTGAGGATAAAGGCTTTTTTCATTGGTATGGCATCGCTTCTCTAACCCAATGTTGTAGATGTTCATGGGTGGTGGTAATCAATTAAAATCAGGTGAACCACCTGCTCTTTTGCCATCTTTTTATATAAAAAATGATTGGTGAAGTCTGCCAACCGTGTTGGAGACGTGTGGTAGACCATGCTAGGAGTAACTTATACTAGGTTAAGTAAAGTAAAGTAAAGTAACAGCCTATACATGTCCCACTGCTGGGCAAAGGCCTCCTCTATAGAGAAGGTATCAGGGCATAGTCCACCACGCGGCCCCACTGCGTATTGGCGGACTTCACATATCTTCGAAATATATTTTTTTTGTTATTATCTCGAAAATATGCAGGTTTCTTCACGATGTTTTCCTTCACCGCGGAGCACGTGATAAGTCAGCACTTAAAGTTAAAAACTTCATTGGTGCCGGCACCGGGGATTGAATTCAGGTTGCTCGAGTATATTGAACTAAAGGCGAGCGCCCGGACACTGAGCTATCACGGCTCAATGACAAATACCTGTTACAAAATAACAGCATGTTATTTATTTTCATATTGTAGTGTTTGAGGGTGCAAGTCAGATCTTGCCCCTGAACATATAACCACAGGTATGACACTAAACAAATTTATTGTCATAAGTTAACCGGTTTACCAGTTTGTATGAATATTATAATATAACAAAGCGATTCGCTTCTTCATTTATCATCCGTACAGCTAAGGAATGGAATTACTTGCCGGTGTCCGTGTTCAGTCCGATTATAACGTAGGCGTCTTCAAAGCAAGAGTTAATAGGTTTTTACTGAGCTATCGCGCTTAACAGCAACGGCTGCATCGCCACATACCATCAGGTGTGATGGCAGTCAAGTGCTGGCCAGTTTTGATTCAATTAATCAATCAATCAGCCTTTTGCAGTCCACTGCTGGACATAGGCCTCCCCAAGAGTACGCCACAGAGTACGATCTTCCGCTTTCCTCATCCAGCCACTACCAGCGACCTTTCTCAGGTCATCGGTCTACCTGGCAGGGGGACGTCCGACACTACGTTTTCCGAGACGTGGTCTCCATTCGAGAACCTGTCTGCTCCAGCGCTCATCGGTTCTACGACAGATGTGGCCAGCCCACTGCCACTTCAGCTTGCTACACTTACGGACTATATCCACAACTTTGGTCCTCTGCCGGATAATTTCGTTTCGGATTTTATCCTTTAGCGAAATACCGAGCATTGATCTTTCCATAGCCCGCTGAGCGACATGTAATCGGTGGGCCAGCCTCACCGTCATGTTCCACGTCTCGGCCCCGTATGTCATGACTGGCAGGACGCACTGATTCTAGACCCTGCTTTTTAGGCATTGTGGTAGTGGTGACGAGAAGATATGACGCAGATTTCCAAATGCTGCCCAGCCCAGCTGCACTCTTCTAGCGATTTCACGCTCAAAGTTGTCTCTACCTAACTGCAATGTCTGCCCGAGGTAAACATACTCTTGGACAACTTCGAGCGCTTCGCCGTTGATCGAAATCGGCTCTGGACTTATAAAGTCGTTGAACATGACCTTAGTCTTGTCCAAGTTCATCCTGAGACCGACCGATGATGAGGCAGCATCCAAGTTGATCCAGCATGATTTTCAAATCCTGCATCGATTCTGCCATTAAAATAACGTCGTCGGCAAAGCGGAGGTGGTTGAGATATTGGCCATTGATGTTCATGCCCAATCCGTTCCAGTTCAAGGTTTTGAAAACATCCTCCAGTGCGTTGGAGTTTCGGAGACATCTCCCTGTCTTACTCCTCTGAGCAGCTGGATGGGTTAAGTCTTTTGGTTTTGTACTTGGACGGACATCGTCGCCGTGCTGTACAGGCTTCTCAGCACCTCCACGTACCGCCAGTCGACTTGGCATCGCTGCAAGGATTCCAGAACGGCCCAGGTTTCGATGGAGTCGAAGGCTTTTTCGTAGTCCACAAATGCTAGACACAGCGGCTGATTATACTCTTGTGACTTCTGTATAACCTGTCTCACTGTGTGAATGTGGTCCACGGTGCTAAAACCTTTTCGAAACCCAGCCTGCTCCGGTGGCTGAAAGGCGACAAAACCCGTTTTGATTAAAAAAATATATTACATATAAATATTGCGATATATTTTTGTAAGACAAAACCCAAAATTTATAACCATTTTGAGAGCTCTTAGTTGCGAGACAATAGTTTGCTAATATAAAATAGCATTAATAATGCACCAACTAGTTTTATAAAATTGTAGGCCCAGAATTATAGCCAATAAATGATGCATAGAGCGACGATGTCAATAATGGTGACGACGATGACGAAAATGAGAACGACGAAGACGACGATGACTCGATGACGATCCCGACCCTTGGACGCTTGAGTAGTATTTTTGGTGTCGCTAATTCCAACCACAGTACAACTGTTGCAAATTACCACAAGTAATTATATTATAAAGATATAATAATTCAAATGTGGCAGTTTACATAGTCATTTACGTGGTACTATACCCAATGGCTTTCTCGGAATTAATTTAAACCCTAAAATAATTAAAAGGTAATTTCGTACAAAAAACCGTAATCATAGAACGACCCAACCCTAACCCAACACTAGTTTTCTTTCTTTTTTGTCTACGCACACGTCGCGAGCACGTTGTGGTTAGGTAGATTTACAGACAAAATATAAAAATGTCGTCCCATTTAAATTGGATGATAATCCGCAATAACAGCGCCTTCATAGTGAAGAAACGTAACATCAAAAAGCCGTTTAGTAAGGAGCCGAACAATGTAACTAACCTCAACTCCTACAGATATAATGGTTTGATTCACAAAAAAGCAGTCAGCGTGGTTGAGAATCCTGATAGGAAAGGTTTCACAGTGGTATATAAAAAGGCGAAGGCGACCAATAAACCATCGAAAAACATTGTGCGTCGTCCATTCAAAGCTGGTGCAAGACGATCTCTGTTCAAGGTAAAAAGACTGTTGAAAGCCAACAACTACCGTACTGACTTGACTACAGCCACACTTCGTCGTGCTTCAGCCATCCTACGCTCACAAAGACCGATTAAAGCGAAGAAGGCTAAAGCAGCTGCTGCTAAAAGTGAATAATTCTTCTGTAAGCTGATAATAAAAATAATCTAAAAGTTCTTCTGGTATATTAATTTGCCAAACCCCTTGTAGAGTTGCTTGTAATATACACTTATTGTGATTTTAATGTGAATTCAATTCTATCAATTGGTCGTAATTTATTGTTTCCTGAAGGATGTCACATTTAAAAATAAAATTAACCTAAAATTAATTAAAAATTCCTCTTAGTGATTTGTGTTATTTCCTATAAAAATTTAGTTTTCATAAAAGTAATAATAATAAATCATTTAGTATACACAGTTCAGTGTGTCTAACGAAATATTTTAGTATCTGGAATGAAAAGTTGTCTTAATTCCCGTTTTCACCATCAATCCCTAACTTTCAGAGACCACCTATAGATAATATGTATTAGTTTTGTTTTCACCACCGCTTATGTGTCCCTTACAAGTCTTAAGCGGTAAAACTTAACCTAAAAAAACCTTAAAAATAAGTAATTTACCAGTCAAATATTCTGGTTATTGGTTTTATTGGCATTGCAGTTTCAAATTTCAATATTATTTATGATTTTGTTGGCAAGAAAACATTGTCCAGTTATAGATTATTTATATATGATGGCTGTGATATATACAATTACAACAAAATAAAATAACTAAAGTAATGTTTTTAACTGTGGATGCTTATCATAAAAGTTCAAATTCTTTTATTTTGTATGGATTTTCTTTGTAAAAATGGAAAGTCAGGATTTGTCTCAAATATGGGTACAACAAAGCTTTTGTTGGTGAAATCACTGTTAAGTGAAATAATTAAATAATATCATTGTAATATTTTATCAATAAACTAAAATTATCTGCCTCTGCTTCACTACCAAAGGTTTTTAGAATTACCTACTTTCTTTAAATGTATAATGGTGATTTATGTTTCGGATAGGTATGTTTTTGAACAGAATTAAATCATAATGTGAGCAGGGCCTACCCAGAGACACGCATGAGGATATGCATGCATTAAAAAAAGGGAGCATTACCGACTACCGAGACTTCGACGGACTTCGGCTGTGTTATTCTTTTTTTGGGAGTGATGTAAACTGACTCAGACAGACCCTGGTGTATCTTGTTTAATACGATGTACTCGTTTCGCGTGTCGATAGGCACAAAAAGAACTACGGTTTATCGAAGATACATACAGTTAAAGAAGTCACGTGTGTGTAGACTGTAGTGTTGTTGGGTGTCCTCTCTGTTGGGTTTGGAATACTTTCACTCCCTTGCTCGACAAATGAGGACATTTAACGTAGAAGGGTTCACTCATATTCTCCATTTACAAAACCGGTGGTTTTGGAGGCAAGTGTTAATGCGAGCTTGGAAGTTTGTCTGTGTTTTTGGTGTCGCTGAGCACAAGTTCGACATAGAGCAGAGGCGAGAGACATGAACCTTGAGGAACGCCTGCTATAGAAAACGCAGCGCCGGCAAATAAAACATTTTAACTTGCGGAAGTATATCAAAGTTTTCTCTTCACCCTGTCAGAATGGCCTGGTTGGAAATCGTAGGATTTTAATTGTGCGTGTCCGACAAAGCAGGCGCACCCGCGAGGGTGTGCATGCGTAGGTATTTCCCCAGACCGTATCTTCAAAAGGCGGTGGACGTGTTCGGATCAAGGATATTTTAGACTAAATCCGACATATTTGTAAGGGATTAATTTTTAAAGAAGACAATCTTTCAACCTGTTCTTAGTTATTCGCTCATATAGGTATACCCAACCCATTTATATGAAACGATGCTTGCGATGGCTTAGATCTCTCAGTTTGTCAGTGTTTCAATATACGATCTTTTAACTAAAGTCAGGAGAAGTACGGAACCGAACCGGGCCCAGCTTTGGAATCACCAAGTTCCGTACGATATCGGTCGGGCCTACGACCGATATCTTTAACTGCCTTTTTAGGGTTCCGTAACAAAGGGTATAACGGGAACCTATTACAAAGACTCCGCTGTCTGTCTGTGTGTGTGTCACCAGGCTGTATCTGCTGAACCGTGATAGTAAGACAGTTGAAATTTAAATGAGAGTCCGACTCGCACTTGGCCCGTTTTTTTCCATCTTATTGTACTTCGGATGTCGTACGAAATGTAAGAGACCGTTCTTTCTATTTCTTCGATAGCGATTAAGATTAGATCCGAGGCTAAGCCTAGAACCGATGGCTTGCGTTATTCCTTTCCACCCAAAGGTTCCATTCCAACATTATATGAAATTCGTTAAAAAAAGAGATTGGTTTGCATCAAAAATTTAATTCGGAGATTTTCGTTGGCAAAATAGCACAATTTCAATTACATGAATACGTCTGTAATACGTGACAATGATATTTAAAAATATAGCTATAAGTCTGTAACAGGTGAACGATGAATAATATTAAAACAATAACATTCATGCAAACATTTATTTAACACATTAATAAAACTTAATTACCTATGGCTGTCGAGTCAAAACTGGAATGTAAAACATTTTACAAAATTATTTAAGAGTAATGCATGATATGAAACATTTAATAAACAGCAAAATGTAAAAAAAACAATACATAATTTCGACAAACACTTGCGGTTTTTCTTTATGTAGTAATAAAACATATTTACATACAGCAAGATATTAATTTATTAAGTTTTTATTATTAGAAAGTTTTTGTAAAATACAAAGGTATCGTTTAATTTAGAATCATGAGAAGTATTTTTTTTATATCAATATTAATTAAAATATTTCCTTACAAGTCGAAAGAAGAAATATTAAAAGCCTTTTATTTGTATAGTAGTGTTATGTTACAATTCTTTAGCAAAAATTTAGATTAAATACTATTTGTTCATGTAATAGAGTAAATTAATACGCATAAAAGCTAAAAGTGATAACTCGTAAAAAATTTATACTACTATAACTATGGTATTGAAATGCTTGTAAAATATTTTAAGTGTTAATTAATTTCAATAAAAGGCTATATTTAGTGCTTCTTATAATAAAGAGCAAGTGAACGTAAATATAACTGGAGTGGTGTACATATGGCATTTTGGAACGATTTTTAAGTGTAGACATATATAGAAGCCTAATTAAACGATTATTCTCTACCGAATGCAACAAGTATGATATTCAAAAAAACCCATCTATTTTATCCTATTTGCATATTTGTCTTGATCATTTAATAGTTAAACGCCATATTTTATCAGACTAGAGTAATTTTATTAATGACGTTACACATAAATCTGTTCATTTCTATAAAACTATAAACGATTTACAGTTTAAAACCGTTAAAATAGCAATAAAATGATAACACGACAAGTGTCAGGTACAAAATAAGCAGTTAACACGAAATTAAAAGGCACAAACATTTAACCTATTTTCTTTGAAGGCACCAAAATCTCTTTCATATTCAATTCCTTCGTGTAACATATTGTAATATTAATAGTTATTGTATAATTAGTAATTTCCCTTAAAAGATAAAAGATGCCTACATAAACGTATTGTGCTAGTTGAATAATTTGTCTAGTTTATCAAAGATTATAAAAGGAACATTTTAGATTACTCTGTATCCCATGTAAGCAAAATAACATTCCTTAATAAAATTACATATTTAACATTCACAAAACAGACACTGTAGATTACAAAGAAATGGTATGGAGTTTTCACACTAGTATGCAGAATTTAAGATGAAAATTATAAATAAATATTGTATCTATCGTTTCAAAATTTTGTGCTTTCGTTTCAATTTTAATGTTTTCGCCTTTATTCAATAAAGTAATTAAGTTAATTTTTTTGACGATAATTTATACTTAACGCCATACAATTCTACAAGCTCGTTAAAATTTATATTGATGCATTAATTGTTCCATTTAATAAATTTTATACAAATTCAATTTAAAAATTCATTTAAACTAACTATTTAGACACATAACCTATGTAGGCACACATTTATTAATCCTAGCTCATTACCGTTCTCCTACTGTCTTAATGACCAGCAGAGAAATTAATAAAGAATACATAAATCATATACAGAATTAAATTTTGTTATGCATACACAAATAATTTCATTCATATTTAATTTCTTTTACTCAATAATCTGATAAAGTTTAACATAAACTTAAACAGTGTTACTATTAGTAACAAGAATAATCATTTATATTTTATACCTGTGAAAGTTTTAGGTAGAAAAAGTTGGCTTGTTTCTATCTAGTCATAAACAACCAATTGACAAATTTTTAAGCGAGTATATGTAAACTGGGACAAGAAAAAACATAAAAATACAGTAGAAACAGTGTTCTTTGTGCACTGTGCACCTTAATAGTTATTCTTGCTTACTTACAATATTAAAATATAATATACAAATAATTGTTAAGAGGCAGTGGTGGGTTTTAAACTGATTATTTAAAACTTGATGTTATTGTCAAAGTAACAATGTAATACTGACATGGTACAACTACATCAAAGGCAAAAATCTTTGAAATTGACTTCTCTAAAATTTCCAATTGAAAGTTTACTTATCGTATTGTATACAAAGCAAATTTTGTTTGTTTAGGCTAAAGACGGAGGTGGTTTACATATTTGTTAAATAAATTTGTAAATAGAAAAAAGATAAAACAAACCAAATCGATAAACCTTCACTTAAATAGGATTTTTTTTTGTTTTGTTTCATTTCGTTTCATTTAAAAGTAAGTTATCACAACTAAATAAATATACCTTAACAGTTTACAATTCTTATTATCGATTTTTGTACAGATTTTATTACATTTAAACACATTTAACACATAGAATTAAAGGCTAACATTGTCGACATTTGCAAATTATGCTGTTTGTGAAGTACAAATTGTTGGAAAACTAATAATAAAACTAAAAATACACACAATGACTAGGAAACATAAGTTAATTACATAAATTCATTTTTCTTAAATTATTTGAGATGCCGGTAAGTTAATTTAATATGAATTATTAAATTAAAGCACATTGGAATGTAACTTACATTGGATAGAACTATAAATTCTTAAAACTCTAATACTACTACATCAAATACTAAGACTTCTTGGACCATAATTGCTACTTATGTGGGGAAACACTACAATGCAAACAAACATTTTTGTGAATGCTTTGTCTTATTATTAACATATTTATTCAGATTCATCAATACCCTACAATTTTGTGTCAACAATGATCAATGTAATGATTTCGAATTGTATTGTATTAGTTTGTGCCATACTTTGCCTATAAGTGATATGGTAGTTGATATAAAAACTCACCATTTAGTTTTCTCATTGTGATGAATGTGAAATGATTAAATTTAAATAAAAGAATTTTTACATCATTAGCTAGTTGTTTCGACAAGAGGAAAAATCTGTAATGCATTACATTGTTTCCCTATGCTAATATAAACATACATATAACCATGTGCAACATAGTTAGGTATTAATACTAAATTATGTTCCTAGAGTTATCATTGACTGGAAAATGCAATATATAACACAACCAAATATAAAAGCACCGAAAATCAAGTTGTGCGCGATTATTTAACATATCTAACTTAATATTTAATGTTACTTTTAATACATTCATGATCAAGTTTCCTCAAAGGATATGTAAAGTGTATAAATTGTTGTATTTATTCCTATAAATACATCAGAAATTTATTTACTTCATGAAGCATACATATAAATTAACGGCCGTTAAATGTATTTTAATAAATGAACATTTTTGTTTGTATTGATTTGTGATAATAAAGTAGCCATATGTTTTTGGGTGCTAATCAATATGTGATCTGCAGTTAATAGTGAACGGTCTACTAGCATTAATGTAATTCGTACATATTTAAGTCATTCCGATAGTTAGGTACAGATCGCGGCACGTAAGTTGAACAATGTTCTTGAACTCTGTTAGTATTAACACATTTTCGGGTCTAAATTAAAGTGTGTGCGCGTAACCATAGCAAAATGACTAGCTCCTACGCAGCCGCAATGAGTAGCACTTCGTCTCCCTACAATCGCACACAAAGTTCGTAGTTCTCCCACATAAAATTTTTGTATCATACAACTTATGATCACACATTTGACACGATCATATAATTTATCATATATGACACAAATACAATAAATATATACTGCGTAAAACTTTATAAAAAATATTTAAATATGACGAATTGCTTTAAGTTTTTTCTGTAAAATTTTTGAATTTCCTAGGTATCCGCGGAGGATGCGTCTAAAACTTTAGTCAATTATGGTTCAAAATACGAGCCGCGATGTATATTATATCGATTGAAATTCATTTAAAGCATTTATTTTATGCTTACAAATCATAAGCGTTTCAATTCCTTTACAGTTTTGTAATGTTGACAAATTTTTACATACAATAAAGCGATAAAAATAGGTTATGGGTAATGTTTTTATAACATTTCATTTCAGAATATTTGAGAAGCCGATAGCTATATTAATTGAAAAAAAATATTATAATAATAATGTATAATACTGTGTGTTTATAATAATAAAAGGTAAATTCACCACAAATATTCAAAGAGAACATGATTTACTACACTCATCGTCACATGAAAAACTCAATTCATTATCAACACTTAGAATCAAACGTAAAAACGAAACAATTATTTCATCGAAAAAAAAAAAAAAAAAAAAAAAAGGGGAGAATACTGTTGTGCTAACGACAATTCGTTCATTCAATAAATTCGTATACATATTCTAGCCAATTCGAACTAAGTGAGCAGAACGACACTCGCTCTTCCTGCCCAAGTGCATATTTGAAACAGCCGTGAACATTTACATCGAGACGATGGGAAGAGATCCGGTGCAAGGAGACCGCCTAGCGAAGTCCTCCATCCCATCTTCTGCATACGAATGACGGACGTTTTCTTTGAGCTAAGTGCAATCCATAACACCGTGATTTATTAGGTGCATCTGCAAGGATCCGGCTCGAAGGACCAGCATACTAAACGTGCCGGGAGTGTCCAAGTTAACCGCCGTTTACTCGCACGCCAGCTTGCCATCAAAAGAGCTAAGGGCGATGCCGAAGGCCTGCAGCGCGCACAGCGGATACCTGAAGTCCATGATAATTATTATGATTTGTGTGGAGGGGGTTGGGTATGAAGTCTCAACGACCAATTCCACCTAGAACATCTACTGTAATCATCGCTTCAAAGCTAGATAGTCTTGTTCAAGCTAACAACCCTAACGAAGTTGACGGTCGATGATAAGATAAGGGCTTCCTCGGTTGCCATCTTGAGTCCCAGGTCCTCCTTATATTACTTGGACAAGGGCATTGAGTTCAGAAATTATGTGAAGCGGTTTATTCGTCCAAATCCACATTTGTGTGGTGAATGCGTCATCAATGGGCTCCCCCGCCTTCACATAAATTTTTGTGGTGAGTTGAGTCCGTCATCACCGTTATGGGCTCCCCGGGCTCCCTTACTGTAGGAGAACATCATACTGTGTTGTAACTATCTTTTACATGCCCAAATTTCACGTGTAAAAACACCCAGATCTGAAACAATCATCTGCGAGTCACGTTAATAGCTGTCTCATGAGGGACTCGAGCCCAGTAACCCCAGCCTAAGGCACTACCTCGGCAGCTTCGTAACTTACATAACGACTTGTAGATTAAAGGAACGCTAGTTTCCGTGGGTAATGCAACGGCTCGTAAGGAAAACGACTCGTTTTGTTAATATAGGAACATGCCTTTTACCTACAAGTGGTTATGAGAGTTACGAAGCTATGTAACTATCGGCCGTTCGTTGTATAAAGGAACGGGCATTAGTCACCGTTGCCGCACCTCACCTGAAGTCCATGGTGAACACGTCCTCGGAGATCCGGCCGAACTGCATCGCCACGTAGTCCGGCTCCGAGTCGTGGACGATCTGGAAGTTCTTCACGCTCGCCTGCGTCACGCGGCCGTGGAAGTTGAGCACGTACGACTGGGTCTCGTCGCTCCACGCGGGCGTCTTGTTGTGCAGCACCACCACTTCGTCCAAACGCTGGGTGCGCAGACGCTCGAGTAGAGTTTCGCTGTCGTCCTGCGGCGTTATAGTGACCCGCTGCCGGTCGGCCGTCATGCCGGGCAGGACTACGGTCATCTTGCGCGGCCCTTTGAAACCGAGCACGTTCGTGTCCTGCGAATTCGTACGGTTAGTTCGGTTATTTGGCCACTTTGAATACTGCGGTAGGGCCACGCAGCGGCCTCGGCCGTTGCACGAATGGACAGGCTCGTCCGGTTAAGTACCGCGACCTCACAGGAGACCGGCGTAAAGTGGAAGTATGATGAGTGGGGATGGGACCATCGCGGAGTGGTCGGTGGAGTGGGGTCATCGTACACTACCAGTGTACCATCGCGGTGTACAATGACCCCACACTAGATGGAGTGACGACATGTGCAAGTGTGCGGGAAGTCGAAGTGAATGCAGGTGGCTCAGGATCGTTATTCGTGGCAGTCTGCGGGGGAGGCCTATGTTCAGCAGGGGACCCAAACAGGCTGAAATGACGATGATGATGATGATGATGACGATGATGAAGTCTGTTCGTGTATCTTACGTATATAACGGCTGCGAGCTCCTGGCGGGTGTGGGCGTGGTCGTGTTTCCGCCACGCCTTGCCGTTGTCGTACACCGTGAAGGCGGTGCCGAGGAGGTTCGAGCGCAGTTTGCCCGCGAAGCTGTCAGCCTGACGCGTCAGCTCCGTCGGGTCCGTCGAGATCAGGTAGTTGGACGTGGCCGATTTCTTGCGTTTCCGTGCTGTTGCGAGTGGATTAATGGATATTTAGTTATTTAGCACCTTTGTGATTCGAACTCAGTGAACCAAAAAAAGGACAACTACATACATTTCATAGGATAAAACGTGCGAGAGAATGAGATAGGAGGATTGTATAATTTACAATGTACAGTGTTTCTTACAGGGTCTGAACGTTGTAAGTGTGTTAGTATGAGTCAGTTCGCGCCTGCGTAACGTAATACATGTTTACATAAATATTTCATTATTTTAATAAAAACATTATTCATCTATAAATAAAAAAAAAATGGCACAGCAGACTTTTCCTAAGAACTCTTCACTGACTTGGTAATATGCGTACATTTAAGAAATCAAATAAGGAAACGTACATTTATTTCAAGAAGATAAAGGATAAGGGTATGAAACTGATTGCAGTGCGAAGGTGGCAGGGTTAAGAGCAGATGTTTTATGATTATGGTTGAGTCCGCTGTATTCTTGGGAATCACAGTAGATTCCAAAGCTCCAATGGAGTCCCCATCTATCATCTCTTGCGAATAGGTTAAGCTCCGCTGTTTTTGCAATTAGGAAGGTTAGGCAGCTATCAGACATCGACACTGCCAGACTTGTTTACTTCAGTTATTTTCACAGCATCTTGTCGTACGGCATTTTGTTGTGGGGTAGTGCATCTGATTTAATCAGTTACTCAATTCAATATTTATTCTTCAAAAAAGAGCTGTCCGAGCAATTTATAACATCGGAGCCCGGAATAAACTCAGAGATCTTTTTAAAGAGATTAATATACTCACTGTTGCGTCTCAATATATTTATTGTAATATTTTGTATGTTAAACATAATATTAATAATTATCTAAAGAATAGTGACAGACATAAACTAAATACAAGAAATAAGGACAAACTAACTACGCCATTGTTTCGTCTACAAAAAGTAAACAGGTCGTTCATGGGGCAAAGTGTGTGCATGTATAATAAAATCCCACAGTCGATATTAAGTCTGCTACTTGATGAATTTAAACGAAAAATTAAAAGTAAACTTATAGCTATTAGCAGCCTATTATACTATTGCCGAATATCTTGATGACGCCAATGTATGGGGTTAATACTGTTGATACTCACTTAGGCTAAAACAAGACTATTGTACCTGTACTATTATATTGTAAATTGATTTTTTAAAAAAGAGCAACTGTTGAGTCTCTTGCCGGTTTTTTCTCAACAAAAACTGCTTTCTGAACCGGTGGTAACTTACGAACGTGTTAATTTCTTTGTAAAATTTTGACGTTTCATAAGAACACGCAAGCGTCTATGTGAATAAAGATATTTTATTATTATTATTAACCAATATACAATTCGCAGCACTGGAAAAGTGACATTATCAAACATATCATATATCTCACCGGCTAAGAGGAACACTTTCTTCCCGTAGTCCTTTTCCAGGTGCAGAAAGTATGTCGGATAGAGGCCACGGTCCATCCCCTTGCGGTCGCGCGCTATCCGGCATTTGTACAGCGTTCCGTGCTTTGCGGGCGTCACCACGAAAGTCTCTATCGAGCCTTCCACGGACCCCTCGATTTCCGCGCTCTGAAATCGTCAACGAAGCTCTTTAGATTGTGCAGATTCACAGTAAATTACTCAATAGAAAAAACTTTAGCAGCATCGCCAACTGGACTATATATTTTTAATTAGTTTGATACATTCAATCTGATTCCCCAAATTCCAAGGACCCTTACACATATTGTTCTCTGTCACATGCTTAAAACTAAGGGTTACGCACGTCGGTCATGGGTACGTACCTAGGCGAATGTATCGCGACTAGATTGTCCCTATACTCCAAGAAGGGAAGAAGGCAGTTATTTTTTGCGCTATAAAATCTTTTAATTAAAATCCCTTCCAGCTGCATTCCTCATTCACCCATCTACACAGAATCTTTTTTCGATTTATAGTTGATTGGGATGGGCTCATTGGCCCATTTCCTATGCTTCGGCATCGGTGGTCGAGGGTTTGATTTCCCACCGGGGAAACATTTGGGTGACCCTGAGGGTTGAAGTCAGGCAGGTGGTGGGCCGTAAAAAAACTTAGCCGATATATACATATAGGCCTTACATGAAAAAAACAATGCATCCTGTCATCCGATACAAACACAAATGTTAATTATTGCCTTTCCCTATTTATTGATTACAGCGCCATCTATTAGTGTTTTCGGTTAGCATTTCAGCAGGTATTATCCGAGCCTTGTTTTTTTACAAAGAATGGTAAAGAAACATTAAAGAATTGTCTTCCGTGCAAATGTTTAACAACATAATTCAGGTTTGGCCAACTCCACCTGGGTGTGATACGGGACAGGGTAAAGAAAGAAGAGTGACTGTCTATTATCGTCTGACCTGGGTCGGTGAGTCATCGCGTCGAACCGCCGCCTGCAGGGGAGCTACGGCCGCGTCGGCGCATACGTCGTCCGTGCTGATATCTCGCCCAACGCTGCAGACGGGTACACTCTCCCCCTCCTCCTCCCCACTGCCCTCCCCGTCGGCAATAGTCAGCACTTCAATCTGATTGCCCAGCTCTGCAAAGAGACCCCATCTCTATAGCTCGGAGCACAACAGCTGTCTACACGTAGATGGAGCTTACGGCCATAAATTACCGGCTTATGGTCCCAAAAGTGCAAGTTAGATCAGTAGTAATTTTTGTATGTAAGAAATCTGTAAAAATTTAAACTTTTTCTTTTTTTTTTAATTAAACGAATAAGCAATTCATTTAGTTCAAATATTAGTAATATTTGATCTTGAGTTTATTTACAATGGTTGTTTTTGCAAAACTACTCCGTTTTAGGACACAGCCCACCACATGACCCCACTGAAGATTGGTAGGCTTCACATATCTATGAAAACATTTTTTTGTTATTATTTTGAAAATATGCAGGTTTCCTCACAATATTTACCTTCAACACTGAGAATTTGATGTCATCATTAAAGTTAACAACTTCTTTGGTGCTGACTGGATTTGAACATAGGTTGCTTGAGAACAATGAATTAAAAACAAGCAACCAGGACATTGAGCTATCAAGGCTCGTCTTGAATATGTATTATTAATAAATCACCAGTCATTCTGATAATGTGGAAACACATTTACTGTAGTAGGGCCATGCAACAGTTATCTCTGTTTCAGGAATGGGCAGGTCAGTCCGGGTTAGTGTCACAACCTTACAGAAGACCGGCGTGAAGAAGAAAGTGATACACTTCTGCATTTTGTCTGGTGAGTGAGGCAGCAGGGGCCCACTTTATTAAAAGGTGGCAATGCAGCTGCAACCCTACGGGTGTTGCAAATGTCCATGGGGTGCGGTTATCACTTAGCATCAGGTGAATAGCCAGCTCATTTACCACTCTTTCACATAAAAAAAAGACCCCACCAATAATTATTTGGTTAAAAGAGATGTTTTTGGTCATAGAAATTGAGATTGTGGCTAAAAATGCAAAGTGAAGAAAGACAGTCATTAAGTAAAATTATAAATAAGTAAAATTTTTTGTAGTCAATGGGTACCTGTACCTGCGTACCATGAGTACCTGCTATTTTCTTAACACATTGAACAATAAATTTTACTATTTTAAAAGTAAATTACATTTTACAGACTAGTAATAAGAAATTATAAAACATCAAGAATAACTGCAGAGAGGCATGGTTTTATTGCATTCCAAATTAAAATGAAAATAAGCTTTGAATGAAACAGACATTCTGCTTACCGTCGTAAGTTGATATTCTATTTGTTTGAAGAGGAATAACTTGGTCGGGATTCACTGGAGACATAAGAAATTGCATCGGACCATCATAGCCTGTTGTAAAAGAAAAACATTTGGCGCAAAAATAAAAATAATACTGCATCACCACATTCATGCGAAAAAACAATACACGTAATAAAACCATCTACAGAACAAATAATTTTTAAACTGTTATAAAATTTTACCATGAAGTTCCCGAGACCGGCTGCCTGAGATAGGTCTTTTAGCTGAACTTACTCGTAAGTCATTTGCCTGTACCATACCAGAATTCTGTCTTTTCTGCTTCATTTTTTGTTCCATTAATTGTCTCTGTAGTATAGAACGCATCTAATTACTTTAAAATTACCGTGCCTTAGTTAAATATCGATCATGTAAATAATAAAACATGCGATGTTTCAAATACAACTTACTTGCTGTTCGAATTTTTGGTCACGGGTATTAATTGATGCCATTTTGTTATATAATTATACTTCCAATTTCTTTACTATTCGCTGCTAAATATAACTCGTTATTTTATTTGAATATTCAATACAATAATTGGCCTATGTAAGCTCATTTTTTTTGTTTATAAATTATCTTGCCTACCGTTGCCCAGGTTGCCCTAGAAATATTAGTGTTGTTAACGTTAAAAATGTTGAGAACCAATCGGTATTAAAGTTTTTGATTTATAAAAACATTGGTATTAATATAAAACCAAGAATACTAGGTATTATTTAAAAATATATTTTTGTGTGAGTGGAGTTTTGTCTGGTGGCTTTGACAGTTTCGTTGGAAGAGGTTAACAGGAGTGGCTGAGATGCAGCGAAGCGGACGGCATCATTGTGTACCAGCTAAGATATTCCGAAGTCCACGAATCGTATGCCCACCTCTTCCGAAGAAGCCGTTAAAGCGTCTGGGCTAGCAGTAAAGTACACTTATGCAAAGAAGGAATAATCTTATGCAAGGAAGGCATAAGATTATTCCTTCCATATCCTGAAAGTCATCAACCACCACAAACGCCTCAGATTCCGGAGCGATCTTCTGTGATGTCACAAAAGCATTCGACAATGTCTAGGACAACGGATTGCTTTACATGCTGATCACGCTCGACAAGTCATTTAAGCTCGTGCGCACCATCAAAGCTTTCCTGTCGAATCACTCTTTTCGTTAGAGGGAACTCCCTACACGAGACGCTCTCTCAAAGCGGACGTTCCTCAAGGCCCCTTTATCTTCTCCTTAACTATTCTCGAGCTTCTTGCACTACACGAGCAACATTCCAAGAGACTCATTCATTCTCGCTCTATCTATACTCATTCTCCTCAATGTATACTCTATTCTAAGCCAATATGTACTGTACTCTTGTATTATCTCTTACGTTTCCACCAGTACAGATTTTACATCTCTCTCCGAGCGCAAAGTTCAAAGGCACGTCCGTTCAATTGCTCAGTGAGGTACATTTTTTTTTTATGCGAAAAGTTGCCAAACGAGCAGACGGGTCACCTGATGTTAAATGAATACCGCCGCCCATGGACACCTGCCACACCCGAGGGTTACAGATGCGTTGACAACCTTTTTAAAATTGGGCTCCGGCAACCTCACTCACCAGACGAAACGCGAAAGTATTTGTCATACTTCCACTTTACGCTGGTCTTCTGTGAGGTCGTGGTACTTACCCGGACGGGCCTGCCCATTCGTGCAACAGCCGAGGCTGCTGCGTGGCCCTACCACCGTTAAACGGTACCACATAATAAACGGAAATGAACCACGTCTGCAAAGGTATAAAGATATGGTTTGAAATGAAGCGAACTGTGAATATATTATTTCTTGGTAAGAAATACATATCCTTTGTATCACTTACTCGCGAGTTACACAACTCTGTTGCCCAAGTAGAAAGCTAGTGGAAGCCCTGTAGTCTCGGGCACATAGAATAGAGTGTTGGATCAACGCTTCTATAAAGAAGGTGGGTAGAGTTCTTAGGTCACGATGCAATCGGCGTTGTGAAGAAATCGGGCTTGGATCACTTGAATTGTGATTAGTGAGATAAGAGTGAAAGAGATATTGCATTTTCCTTTAACCTCAATCGTTACGTTCGTGTGGCAATGCGTTTTCGAGTGGTGGAGGTTAGTTAAGTTATTTACGTTGATTAGCCGGGATCAGGGCCAGATTTAAAGGTCTGGAGGTCTCGGGGCAACAAAGGAGTGGAGGCCCCTTGGCCCCAAATTATTTTCTATTGATTTGTGTTAATATTTAATGTAATCATGTTTGTACACAGTACCGTGGGTAAAAGTAAAACACGAAAAAAATATGAAAGGAAAAGTTGTTTACTATTGTTTACTAGTCTGAATTAGAATTTTTCTTTTCGAAGTCTCTATTGTGGGGCCCCCTCATTTTTGGAGGCCCCCGGGCTGTTGCCCCGGTTGCTCTCTCCTAAATCTGGACCTGGTCGGTATTAACAACATTTATGGGATTTCGGATGCACGGTCCGAGAGTTTGCAGGGTAAATATTGAAGGCTTCAACGAACGGACTCGTACAGGCATTTATTATATTCTATGTCTTATCGAACAGTCAAATTATCCGTGTCCTCCGATAGGAAACCTCTTTAGTTAGATGTTTGAACTTTGGCTTGGAATGCAAGCGATTCTTGGTAAATCAATTGCTTTATGTACATGTCAAGAAACCATATAACTAATAATTTAGGAGAGTAATTATGTTTAACAAAATACGTTACGCATCAGGTGGTAGTAGTTTTTTGACTGCTGATTTACAATTTAACTAAATTAAAATATATAGGATATGATATCTTAAAGTAATATCAGATGCAAGTATTGCATCTTGTATAAGTGGGTTCGTCAAATCTTACAGCTAAGGCTACTAATTTAAATCAAAAAACAACGGTAATTTAAAAAATCGTTCCAGTAAGTGTTAAGTTCCATGTTAATGATATTAACATGTAACTTAACACAAATGAAATCGATCTGTAGTTCGAGTTAGAATCGATTTCTAATGTCATGTAATTTATATTCTATATTCGTTATTCATTCTTCAGTTTTCAGTTCTCAGTAAAAATGGCCCCGTCTCGGAGTTTTATAGGATTTTTAAATCCGAAAACCATTGGTTCAGTATTCAGTAACAATATTTCTAAGGCACCTTGCCGTTATTTTCATAAGTGCACTAATTGTCGCGATTTTTTGGTTGCTCCCGTAGTATCTGTATCTCCACTGGCAAATAAAAATTTTAAATGTAAGTTTTACATGCTGTTATTACATCACCGGGAACAATTTATCACCTTTCAGGGACTAATTTAGTATAAAAATATACCGTCAATAAATTTGTTTCATTGATATTGCATTACCAAAACAACATTGAATGACGTTTTTTCTATAACCTCTCTTCTTCAGATAACTTATTCGGCACAAAACATCGATTTATTCACACCACACATAGTTTAAATGCTCGGGTAGACTATTACAAGGTACTTGGAGTGGCTAAGAATGCTTCGCCTAAGGATATAAAGAAAGCTTATTATCAGCTAGCTAAGAAGTACCATCCTGACGCAAATAAGTCAGATCCCGAAGCTTCGAAAAAGTTCCAGGAAGTTTCTGAGGCGTATGAGGTAAATATCGATTATAACTCAAAGATGACTATTATCACAAATGACAAATATGTTTGAAATAGTATGATAAAATAATATGGTAATAAACAATAATATGTTAAAATAATGGTAAAATAATATGATGTAAGTGATGGGTCCAAGCAAAATGGGTGCTAATGTATGAAAGTAATATTTTTGTACTCAATAATGAATAAATATAAAATTTTTTTTAGATTCTATCAGATGAAAATAAACGTAAGCAGTATGATACCTATGGGACAACATCAGAACAAATGGGCATGGGAGGTCCCAGCGGACCTGATGGGTTCACTCATCAATGGCAATATAAGTCTACTATAGATCCCGAGGAATTGTTTCGCAAGATATTTGGCGATGCCGGCTTTAAAAGCGAGTCTTTTAGTGACTTTGCTGAGAGTCAGTTTGGTTTTGGTGCAGCTCAAGAGGTGTGTATAAAATAAATCTAAGCAATCATTATCAACATGACATGAAAATCTTAACAATATTATTTGCTCTTTAAGTGGAAATATGTTTCTTCCCATAGTTATCTGTTTACAACATTTAATTCATGTACAGTTTTAATTTATTCAAAAATACATAAATTTTACATACCCTGTAAAATTTAAAACACAATGCAATATGTTTATTCAAGGAAATATTTAATATTATGTTAATTCTATATACTCATAACTTTTAGGTTATTGTCAATTTGCGGTTTACTGAAGCAGCCCGCGGAGTAAATAAGGATATAAATTTAAATGTGGTAGATACTTGTCCAAAATGCCAGGGTTCAAGGTGTGAACCGGGTACAAAAGCAATAAGGTGTACTTATTGCAATGGTTCTGGTATGGAGACTTTCTCTAGAGGTACTGTTTTCTTTTAATAATTGTCTAGTAGTTAAAAATTTAAATTCAAAGATATCTTAGTGTTCAGGTTGTTCAACTTTAATTTTGTATAGCTAAGCATCATGGGTTCAAATCCCCTTTCCGGCACCAATGAAATTGTTGATTCCAATTTTAAGTGCTGATTTATGTGATGTTTATTGTCTTATTTTTTGCCTTCTTTCTTGAGCATAGCCCATTAATTAGTGTTTCCTTCTTTGTGTCCATATTCAATTTGATTCAATTCAATTGTTACTAGATTTTTTTATGTATATATAATGTTCAATCTGGGTTAAAATTTCTTTTGAATTAATAAAACCCTTAAATGTGATTTAACATTGAATAAAAAGTCAAACCTGTGTCTTTCGCATAACACAGTGTAAAACATCTACAAGTCTAGACGCTCTAGCTGAGCTAACTACGCAAAATGCAAAAGAGAAAGTGAATATGTGTTAAAATTTTTTAGAATAGCGAAAATTTAATGATATCATAGGCGTAGCTCAGTCGGCTAGTGAGTCTCGATTGATTTTTGGTAGTGCCGAACAGTTTTCCAAATTTGTATGGTGTATGTGACTTCACATATAAAAGATTCATCTTGGGAGCTGTTTAGGACTAAAATAAAAAATTATCATAATAAAAACTTAATAATTAATATAAAAGAAATTGGAATAGGCATTAGTAGAATTACCATAGGATAGCTTTTATGAAGTGGGTTGATTTTAAGGTTGTTTATACACGTTTTGTAGTATAATTTTGCACCCACAGAAATTTGGTGACTATTAATCTGCATATAACATTATAAAAAATATTGGTTTCTTTTTTTTCAGGTCCATTTGTAATGCGCTCCACCTGCAGACATTGTCATGGAACAAGAATGTTAATTAAATTCCCATGTGTTGAGTGTGAAGGCAAAGGACAGTCTGTATGTATATCTTACTAATTTTTGTTTTCGTTTTTGTTCTATTATTATATATTTGCTGATTATCACTGCATTAATGAATTAATTAAATCTTTAGTTGTTATAGTTATTATATTGGCAATTACAAGTATTGATAGCAAAATGGATTGATTTATGTTGAGCAAAATTATTTAAGGGAAAATGCCTATCACATTTAATTGTTTTTTATTACCTGGTTGAGTTTTATTTGTCAGACTGACATCATTTTTTATCTTCTAAGTTTTTCGTTTCAACAAATGTTTTCACTTTCCTAAACCTCTTTATGCACTAGTGAGATTATTGTATTCTACTTCAAAAAAGTTAATGTTTTGTATAATATTTTCATGTTGCATAATCATCTTCTTTTATTACAGGTGCAACGTAAGAAGATTACGGTTCCAGTGCCGGCGGGTGTTGAAAATGGTCAGACTGTTCGCATGGCTGTGGGTAACAATGAAGTGTTTATCACCTTCAAGGTGGAGGAGTCTAATTATTTCAAACGGGATGGTCCTGATGTTCACACCGATTGTACGGTAAGTTGATAAATTTATCAATGACTTGATTATAAAATGCAATATCTATTTTACTCATCGGACTTAAAAATTCTTCAACTGTAATAATTATAAGGAAGTATAAGGGAGGAGGAGGTTAGTAAGCTAATATGTAACTGCTGAAAGAATGAAATATTGAAATCAAATGTTCTATGTTTAAATAATATATCTTTTCAGATTTCAGTAGCCCAGGCGGTATTAGGTGGCTCAGTCAGGGTACAAGGCTTGTATGAGGATCACACAATACAGGTGAGTGTTGAAGGGTGTGAAAGAGTTTAAGAAATGGGTATTACATACATAGAATTAACTTTTCAGAGATCCTGGGTTAAGAGCTACATATTATCACTATACGGCATGGCATTACAACCGCGACAATAAATGAACACACTTCTAACGCTACTTGCTTAAAAATACAAACGTTAAAAAATCCAAGTTTAAAGAATAATAATTTTCAAACGTATTCAATAAATAAAAAAGAAACAAAATTTTTAGCATCCTTAACAACTACAACTGACTGATTCATACATTCAGAGTTAAGTCTCTCCTTCTAACATAATGTTTTATCTCTTTTAAATTCATTCAACCAATTCATATGCTTTGGGACCTTTACAAATGAACTTTACGTTACAGTTTTATGTGCAAGGATGTTCTAAAATTATTTGTTTTTGGAAAACTTAATAATGATTAAACTATAAAATAACTAAATAAATATTAGTGTTTAAAGAAAGTAAATGTTGCAATTTCTTTGACTGTTACATTATAATCTCATATCTTGTATATAAATTACGTTTACAAAAATTATCCCACAGATAATGCCAGGCACTTCGTCACACAGTACAATACGCTTGTCGCGGAAGGGTATGAAAAGGGTAAGCCAACATGGCTATGGAGATCACTATGTTCATGTAAAAATACAGGTGAGATTCAAAAAAAATTATACTTCTCATAATTCAGGCTATTCAGAGTAGAGCAATATAATACTATTACTTTAGGAGTAATATGATTATGATAAGTTAGTATTTTACCTATTCACTGAATTACATTTTTAGTAATCTAGATCAGTTATGTATAATTTCCATTAATATTTTTTATTAAATCTCTTATGTAATCTCAATTATGTATCACCCATCTTGGGTGTTCTTCAACTTATATAAAGAAATTAATTGATTGGTCCCAACTCGGGTGGAGTTAGTACGAGTCTGTCTTATCCTTAGTGTTTTTATAGAGCTGGAAGCTCGTAGGTAGAGCAGACTATTCCTACGGAACCTCCTACGGAAGGGGGCTCCCTTTGTTTTTTTACACTTATTAATTTTAATCCATAAATGAGGAAAACTTCCTCAGAATTAAAGATTAATAAAAAACTAAAAGGGTGGGGCTCCGCAACTTTTCCTTTTAAAGGGATGCGGGGAGTACCCTTCGTCCCCTCCTCCCCCCACCCCCTCATCCTCAGTTCGATGGACGTCAATGGAAAGTGTTATCGGCCTTTTCCACCAGTAGGACATATTATACAGGCTGCTACTTTACTTTTTAAATTTTATTCCAATGATTCTTTTTAGGTACCGAAAACACTCACCGACAAACAGAAGGCTCTAATGTACGCATACGCCGAGTTAGAGGAAGACACACCGGGCCAAATACATGGGGTTTCATATGACAGAGATGGTAAGAAAGCATAGATATATCAAGAAATGGAACGTCCTCCCTCCAATGCATTCAATTTGCAAGTGAGATATTAACATCATAATATTACTGTAAAGTAGACTTTATATTGCAAAGAAGTTATTTCATTATTCAGGAAAGAAAGTCATTCTATAAGTTTAATTCTAATGAATGATGACTTCTTCATTTTAGTATAAATATTATGGGATAAAATTTATCTGTGGAGACTGCAAAAGTGTTCAATGGCAGCGTGTGAGTCATTCGGAAATAATTTGTTTTACAGAAAATACAAAAACTAGTAGCAGTAATACAAATGACACGGACTCTCAAAAGATCCACCATACGAATAGAGATTCGGAGTATAGCGGACGCGAAAAGTCCGAAATGTGGACGTTCATTGATAGTTTGCTCGATGCCTATCGAAATAACACGGGGAGTTTCGTGGCCGGTTTCCTAGTTTCCATATTTTTCATTCTGTTTTTCGCCCTAGTTGATTACGACGATAGATTAGGAGTACAGAAATATTTAGAAGAGAATGTAAACGAAAACGACAGTCAGTATTTGGACACACCGTTGGGCTACCAAAGAACCATTAAGAGGCAGAAAGAAAAGAACGCAGATTTGTACGAAGCCTAAATTGTATTTTATCACTACATTGTAGTAACTATAGCAAATAAGCATTTGACATAAGCTTACATTATACAACACAATTAATTACCAATTTCATATTGGTTAATAGATATGAAATCTAATATGAAACAAAATACAATATTGTCAATACAGTTTATGACATTGGTTCGTTTTTAATGTTATACAAATTTGTGGTCGTTGTAAAATGGTTAAGGAATATGAAGAGGATATAGTATGATGGTTGTACAAATATAAAAACATCAATATAGAAAATGTTAAATGAACTTGTTGTTTCATTTACGTCCTTTTTTAGTTACCTTCTCCACCATCATGCTATTATCCAAAAGCAGTTTTTAGCCCACTGACAGTAATCTGATACTCTTTGTCTCCTAGGTGGCAAGATGTAAAAAATAAAGTTCTTGTGAGTGATCGGACTGCTTATTAAGTACAAAAATTACTCCCAGTAGTTTGAAAAAAATAGTGTTTCATTTAAAAAGTGTTTCAAATTGAAGTAGGAGAGAAATCATAGTAAATACAATTATTTTTTTTAAGGAAGTATTATTGTCGTTTTCATTTCAAAGACTCAAGTTTAAGTGATTTAATTTTCAGAATTTCCGTAGATTTATTTAAGTTTTTGTTTTAAGTAATCGAATTAGATTTTTTGTTCGTTTCACTTAAATGAGTTTCCTTTGTTAATACATGACATTAATTTCTCTCGACATTATAAAGTTTGTCACCACTATACGGATAACCTCGTATTTTAGAAGTCAAGTTTATTTTAACCATCCATTGGATTTTTATTCTTTCCCTCATTAGTACAGTAATTCTATGCAAAACCAATACCGTGTACTTATTAGGTGTAAATTAGTACTGGAATAGTATCTTCTGTGTGAACTATATAACCGGTTATTGTTAGTCTTGTAATGTAAGAATAAATTATAAAGACCCTTTAAAACATTCAGTGTCGAAATATTTTAATACACGCCATTCTAATGTTGTTACAATCGGTCATGTTATTATATACGGTAAATGTTTATCTAATAGGATATTCAAATTGTGTACGCTATTATTCACAGGTAAGAAAATTTCGATATCGGAGCCCCATAACCTTGTGGACGCAGTAAAAGAAGCTCTAAAAGACAAGAAAAGCATCGAAGGCCCGAACCCTGAAACACCAGAGGATGACGTTTTAAAAGAGTCTAAAAGAAGCAAGGGATAAATTTCTAGAAGAAAGCAACAAACGATAAACGTGGTGTATTGGGGACGGTTTAGTTGAAATTTTTATGTTTCGAATTTCGAATAATAAATATTATTCATAAAAAAGAACAATTTGATTTAGTTAAATTTGTAACTGTCGTTTTCGATTCTTCGATGATAATGACGTATTGTTTTTTTTTATTCCATTAATTTCAATCAGTACTGTGATATAAAATTTAATGAATTTCATCGACTCACTGAACCATATGGTTTTATTTACGGGAACACGTAGTTTATTATTGGTTCAAAATATTAGAGCGAAGTAGTAGAACTAAAGAGCTGTATATAGCCGTTAACTAGTGTGTAGGATGGTAAATAAAGTATAGAGTTGAACGACGATGTTTCATTTTTAATACGGCATTAAGTAAAAATATAGAAATAGGCGAAAACTTACCGTAATTACTAATGTACCAAACTATAATCAGCGTTGAACAAAGTTTTTTACTGAGATTGAGAATTGAGGTGATGTGACAAACAATTTACATATTAGCAGATTCTCGCGACTGTACATTGCCTTTGTAGTTTTCACAAAGGAAATTATTAGAAACTGCAAGTTTTCTTTTTAATTTTATTTAGATGAAAGTCTGGTCTACACACAAATATCCATTTATATTTCGACACCTTACCCTTTCATGTATTATTTTATAATAGAAATGTAAAGTTATAGAAAAGTAAAGTATTTTCCCCCCCGTCCCTAATAATGATTTATGCGACATGAAAATTTATAAAAATATCAATATAGGAAGATAAAATATCGATATATCTATATTTTTTTCTGCATCCCTAATGCATAATCGAATGCAGAACTCGTGGGATAGCATGATCCCACGAGCTTGATGAGGCCGAATGGTTTTCGGCTCTTTCGATGAACCATTTGTGTGACTTAAAACTGCTCAAATACTGGGAGTCTGTAATCGCTATGCGGGTCGATGTTACGTTGATACAACCTAGTACTAACCGGCGAGGCTGGTATTACCACCTATTTTGAATTGCTACGTTTTTGCAGATCTATTGTGCTTGTGTGGGCAAAGTGCTAACTTTGGACAAGATTCCGTGGTGCAGTTGCCAAGGTATTGACTTCGGCGTCGGGTTCGTGGGTTCGATTCCCACACGGGACAATTATTCGTGTGATCCACAGATAGTTGTTTCGCATCTGGGTGTTTGTCCGCGTGAAATTTATGTATGTAAAACGACCTTAAAATATAAGATAATGGCCTAAAGTGATCGCAATGTTTTTAAAAGAAAATCATTTAACCATTCTGCATCCATGAAATTTGAAAAGCCATTTGACAGCTGATTAATTGACATCTATGACGATCAGTGTTTCAGAAACCGGGCGTAAGAATGCAAGCCTTGTATAAAAAAAAAGTGTCTTAAGGGCAAATTACCAGAGATGGTAGTTAAGTTTTAGAGACGGCCCCAAACTAGCCGAATATTTTTAATGTGCATGGTAAATGTCTGGAGTCGAAAGTATCTCCTAAGTACTTGGTACCTTCCTTTTCCGAGGGAGCATTATATTGCGATTTGCCCTAGCTTACTGGTCTAGCGAGTTCGGGTCGTTTTCCAATGACTTCCCGGTTGGAGTGGGTTCCGGGGCCAGCCCGTGTTAAGTGTACTAAATTCTTATTGGTTAACGTCTATTCTCCATCTGCGGCGTCAATCACTGAGGCGATCGACGGCGCGTTGGAGGCGAATAGAGATCGGCCGAGATGTTTATCCGAGTAGTATAGGCAGTAGCCTAGCTTGCCTAAGACAGGGCCGTATCGAAATGGCCGCCATTTCGATACGGCCCTGTCGGCCTAAATGAAGGGAACCAAAGGAACAAAAACACTTCTTCTCTTCTTGCCTTTTTTTCGGCAAACTTATGTATTAACATCCATAGCGGAGACGATTTCGCTTTTTCTTGATTTACAGCCTCTATAAATAAAATGTCTGATAGCCGTTCCTGTTCATAGAAGTCCTAAAATAGGTTTTAAGCAGTTTTAATTCCGAAAAACTTAATTGCGTTCGTTGCAGTTGCAACCGAAAAATTCAAAAAAAGAAATCATGCTGGTATTATCTCCGGAAAACGATGCAAGGCTATTGATTTTTATTAGTAACAATTTTATAAGTTCTATAATAGAATTAATTTTCTGATTTTCAGATTTTAAGCATGTTTTCAGTCTTTGTTTATAGCCGACTTGTCAGACTTCCTGTACACACGTCTTAAACAACTTATTAATAAAATAAAAACATTTTGTAGTGGACAGAATTGTGCATCTAAACCATTCTTGAATGCACTTGATCACACAAAAAATTTCATCAAAATTGGTCCAGACGATCATTAGTTCAGTCACATACGCACAGGAGAATTATATATTATCTTCTATTATATAAAGAGGAAAGATTTGATTGTTTGTATGTATTGAATAGGCTCCGAAACTACTAAACCGAATTGAAAAATTCTTTCACTGTTGAGAAGCTACATTATCCCTGCTTGACATAGGCTATATTATATTTTCAAGAAAATTAGGGATCCTTACTAAAACTCCAATAATGTTACTCAAGGTGTACAAAAATTACCTAGAATATTCATTACATCGCGTGCGCTGCGAAAACTGTTGATGATAGAATAAAATAATGTACTACGACTTTGCAGACCACATCATTATTTACAAAAAGTGTCGCGAGAGCATATGTCTAACTATGATAGTTATGCCACAATAAGTGTTCTTTTATTTTAAAATTTTGATTGAAATGCCGCCGCTAGAAAAGGCTCTTTATTTGTATCTTGGTATTAATCCTTATAAAAATAAATTACTTCATATTTAAGACTGTTTCAATATCTTTATACAGCTTTTTGAATTATTAAATTCGGACATTCCATTAGAGAGATATCGCAAGTTTAAAAATGTTAGTATATTGGAATTTAACTATCCAAACAGCTTAGTGACTGACTTAGTAGTTCTTATAATTTTTCAATCACATTTATACTGGTAATTCCTGTTCGATAGTTAGCAATTTATTTAATACAAAGGCAGTTTAATTTTTTTTATCATTTTAAAGATCTCATCTTTCTAGAAATAGTTCCCAGGCGTAGGCATCAAAAATACGTCGTAATGAGGAATCTTTACCGGAAACTGAAAATAGTCTTATTAATCGGAGAGAGTCAAGAGTGTTTGCAGCGGCTTGAAGAGCATAATAATATAAATATACAAATTCACACTAGGGAGTCGAGTTCTGAGCGTACCCAACGCCTACGAGATTAGAGGGAAAGACAACAAACGTCAACGATTAGAGTTCGTAATCGACTTTTAGCTCACAGTAACAGATCAGCTTTAATGCATTAAGCTCAACAGTCTTTTGTCCAAATCGGAGCCATGAATAAGATCTGCTCTAAGTTCTGCCAAAAAATGGGTCGATGAACCAAATGGTAAGTGCTGTGCTTCTGGAAAAGTTAGTCTCCCCCATATTGAGGTGCCGCCACTGCCAATAAAAAATCTTTTGACGAATAATCATCTGGACATTTTTAAACAACATTCGAAAGTGCAAAAGCCTCTTTCAAATGATTTCGTTTAGCGTGAACTTTTAAAATAGAGGGACAAGTATACAAGTTATCATTATCCTCCTGCCTCTATCCCATCTAGGTGGGGTCGGCACAACATGAATCATGTTGTAAGCGGTTTTGGCTATATTTTTACAACCAGCCGCCTGCTTGACGTCAACCCTCCTTGAGAAACAAATACCCAGATCAAATTTCAACCGTG